TATCACTTTAGTTTACTTCTAAATTATAATGAAAAAAGTACCAATACAGATTAATGTCAAGTGAATAAATCATAGTTATTTCCTTCTGCTTTAGAACTCCTATAAAATGAATCTAGAAGACACAGTGAAGGAGTCATGAATCCTTGCATCAAACTACTAGTTCATATCATTACCGATTATCGTTTCATAATATAAGTTGGATAGCATTAACAGTTAACTACTTTGTAATTGATATGACTTTCGGGAATACAACTCAATGTCAGACACTATTGGGCATTGAAGTTTTTTTCAAATCATCAATCGATCGATGTTAGACCACCATTGGAAACCTTGTATCGCTGAAACATGGTCGCGCAATTTCGTGGACTGAAGTCACGCATTGTCATTGTTCAATGTTGGCTCAGTGGTCAAGAGGTTAAGCATTCCGGGAATCGAAACCCATACCGTTTGCTTCAAACATCATTTCGTTATCCAACTAACTGCCGAGTCCTGATAGCCAGCTGCTTGTGCGATGAGATGAAGCTTAAATTCACTTTTTGTTGCTTTACTTGTATCTCCCCATTGTTATTTAGGACTGTAATTGACCGGTTTCTATCAGAACTCAGTAGCTAAGTGGATAACGCGATGACGTTTGAGGCGAACGGTACTAGATTTGAGTCCCGCAATGAATATCAACTGTGTGATGCGGGTACATCTAGCTGACGATTCCCACTGCTAGTGACTATTCATCTTTGATTAAAAAGCTTGTGATTTAAGGTTATATAGAGGCAATCCTCACAGTGTTTACATATGCCAATAAGAAACTGATAAATTACAGTCCTAAATAACAATGAGAAGATAAAATTAAAGCAACACTAAATGAATTTAATTATAAAAACTGTTATTCTATCCAATTCTTTGTTTTTGCAATTATTCAATTAAATGAATGTTTCCATTTTCATAGATTTGCCAAAAACTATTCATTCTATCATGTGAATAAAACTATAAACTTAATCGGCAGTAATCGGTATTGAACACTTCAATATTTAAATGGGAAATTGTTTTTCTCAAAAGAAAAAAATATATAATGATAAATGATTATATTCCCTGACAAATTGTTTACTCACATAAATATATATCACAAAGGGGTTTTTGTAGATACTATAATACTTTTTATAGTTGATATCATGAGTCCATTAAAACTAGACCACTATGGGAAACTTGAAAGCAATAGACAGACGTTTCGCCTTACAGTGGGATACCACATTTTCATGGATTAGTTGGAGTTTGATATTAACACCGTTGGGTGCCAGCTCAATAGTTTAGAGGATAAGTGCTCGCACGAGAGACCGATAGTTCCAGGGTTCGAATCTTACAGTGGGAGGGCAGGATCGTGAATGTGCATAGATGAGGAGTCTCACAAAAGGATGAAACGGCTGTCCAGTGCTTTCAGTTCTTCCATAGTGGTCTAGCTTCAAGTGACTCATGATCTCAACTATTAAAATAAATATATCTCTGACTGTGAAGCTGGGTGACACGGGATCGAATCCGTCAGACAGCAACAGTTCCCTCAAGATTACAGGTACACTTTGTTGACGAGTGCCAAGTAGCACAAAAAAACACGGGTCCAGGGTTTCCTGTTAACTACTTCCAACCACTATCTAATCTCAATATATAGTGCACACAGTGTCGAGTCACCTAGACTGGTGGCCACATTGCAACATGGTCGATTGCATTCGATCTACACCAAATAAGGACTTGACACACATGACATTGATCACCACCCAGTGATCGATCAATTGGGATATCTTATATAATCAGTTGAAAACAATAAGTAACATTATTACCAAAGTTTGACTTGATCATTTCAAAATCAATTGAGAATTGGATAGATTTTGAGATGATGGAGATAACTTGTAGCTTAACTGGATAATTTTGATGAAGTTTATGCTGAAGATATTGTTTAGAAGAATGATGAAAACTGCACTACCAAACCATTCATCTCAAAGAACTAAACTTCTTTAAAAACTGGGTAGATTGTTATAAATAAAAATATAATAGTCTATATATATAATAATGAATAGAAAAAAAAGAATTAGATTTCCTGATGTTTCGTGACTTATTTATGCCGCTTCTTCAGAGGAAATAAATAACTAAATAAGAACTATTGAATAAAGAGATGTTCTTTTAAATAAGAATGGAATAAAATCAATTAAGGTCACGATTCTTTTGTTCATTAGAATACAATGCAATACAATAGAAAATCGATTAAGGATTATTTATTTACCTTTAAGATACGCTTGAATAAATGTTTATCACTATAGATTATAGCTAAAATTATCAGTATGTAATTGTTATAACCTATGGACTTGTACACTATCGATCGGAACAACGATGAGCAGTCTAGAATCTGTACCGGTTCTTCTTCTCGACTAGATCTGCTTGTTGAGCTATAGCAACAGCCTACTGTGGGAAAGAACAAATCAACTTCCAGCTGATGAGGAAATTAGGAAATGGATTTGGAAGTGGATAGGATATATATTATGGAAATCATTAAATTGAATCACAAAGCAAGCACTAACGTGAAATCCTGAAGGGGAACGAAAAAGAGGAAGGCCAAAGAACACACTGAGTCGGGAATTAGAATCAGACATGAAAAGGATGAATAACAACTGAAACCAACTGGATAGGGTTGTCCAGGATAGAGTTGGATGAAGAATACTGGTGGTCGGCCTATGCTCCTTCATGAGTAGTAAGAGGCGTTAGTAAGTAAGTAATTCAGTGAATTACACATTGACATCTGAAGAGAAATATATTAAGTTTAAGTCATAATGTGAACGTCAATTTTAGAATATTGGTATATCAAGTGGATAATTACTAGCTAAAAATGAACGTTGAATCCTGAATTGTAATTTAAGCGACAATCTATCTATTCTAGCAAATCTTCCTATTGGTTATAATAGTACTAAGTGTATCTGTAATGGATTCAATCAAAAGTAAAATTACGTCCTTAATGATTGTCATTTTCATTCGAGATTATTTCTGTTTTTATTCGAATATAATGAATATTGAAAAGAGTAAGAACAAAGATTCTAACAGAATAGCATGAATTTATTTTATTTCGTCTGGGTCTGTTCAGCTGTTTACAACCTGTAATATGTGAGGATGGTCTACGAATGAACTCAAGGAAGCTGTAAGAAGCTCAGAAAGAGTCGAAGATATTCCATACAATCATCTTTCGGAGACATATTCCAGAATCCATACATGTAAGTTCTCTATTCGACAAATGCTAATAAACCCCGTGTATGCGGATTAAATAACTATAATGATGATTTCGTTTTTACTAAATATTATAAATACCTAACAATTCTGTACCATAAATGACACTGTTTGGAATAACATTCCTTTCACTTGTCTTCTGTCTTCTCATTTGCAACTTGGGAAGGTTCTAGCATTCGAGTGCTCAAGTTATACGTTGTATATTAGATATAACAGATATTTAAACTTTATAATTACATAATGGGTTTAAATTACTTACATGAAAGGGTTGGGTTGGAAGTTATATTGAAGACCTATTCGTGTAGTGTATCAAGGATGTAAATATAATTAATAGACTGAATGTTGCAAATATACATCTTACGTGAAAGAACATTCTACAAGATTGATTGTGACAACAGTTCAAACGGCCAGAAACAAGTGATTACATAATGAGTAAGAATATAGTGAATAGAGCTCAGTTGATCAAATAAGATAGTTGAAATAAAAACTCAGTGATATAATAAATGTGAGAAAGAGTTTGAAGAAAAGGAAAACAAAGATGCAACGAAGGACTATTTGTCACTAAGGCAACGAAAGATTAATAACCATCTCCTTTCGAACACATAAGTCAGGTTTTTGTCGCCTGATAGCAAAGTCTTCAGAAAACTAGAGTTTGGATGCTTACTAATCACCTTAAATGATTGCAAGGTATCTATCTGATGTCCTATATTAAGGAGATGTTTTTGTGATTGCACTATTTAGCGTCTTTCTTTCTCATGTTCAAAAAAATTTAAAATATGCCCTCTTTTCTGTTCGGCCAATGTAGTTGCTTTGGCAGCTATAATGTAATGTTTGTTTCTTATTTTCATTATTCTATTTTATTCAGTTTAACATTGATTTACTTCAGAGTGATGCTTATTCAAGATATGTTATTCTTTGTATTAAACTCACACGAACCATGTCCAGATGGCATGGAACATTCGATTATCTTGTAACTTTATATATGTAACGTTTTCTCAATTAATAATCAAATAAGTGTACAAATCAATATAGAAATGAATGTATCTTCGTCTATAGTTGTTGTATATATTTTGAGGTGAATAAATCTTCACTTTTACCAGTGATTTGTGTTCCTCTTACTTCACATCATGGGAATTGCAGTGGTTCCTTGTTCAAGTATAAATAATATCCGATGTCTATATAAAATGTACAATATATTCGTAGTCAAGGACACAAAGGTAAGTCAACAAAACGAAATTCAACTATTGAAATTTCTAAAACCTCCACAAAACCCTTTCTGATAATAATCACCTGATCACTAGTGATTAAATTCAAGAGAGTTCTATTGAGAAGTCGCGACCAGTGACGTTCAACCAGGTCTGTTGTGAAATATCAACTCACTGAAGACAATGATGTACGGTGGCGCAATTTCGTGGATCGGTTGAAGTTATACATTAACACCGTTGGATTCCGGCCAGCTCAGTGTCCTGATGGTTAAGCGTTCGCATGCGAGATTGATATGTCATAGGTTCGAATCACGCGGGGGGGGATCGTGTATGCGCACTGCTGAGGATTCGCATACTAGTAGGAAACGGTCATGCAGTTATTCCAGGTTTTCTATGGTGATCTAGCTTCAATAATTTAAAATGTTGTTTCAAACTACTACTACTACTCCTATGCCGAATATCATAAGTCAAACTATAGAACAATGATTACTTGATTACAAACCACAGTAAAATACAATTTAAACAGATATATGATAAATGACAGATCTCTTATCATCATCATCATCATCATCATCATCATCATCATCATCATCATCATCATCATCATCATCATCATCATCATCATCATCATCATCATCATCATCATCATCATCATCATCATCATCATCATCATCATCATCATCATCATCATCATCATCATCATCATCATCATCATCATCATCATCATCATCATCATCATCATCATCATCATCATCATCATCATCATCATCATCATCATCATCATCATCATCATCATCATCATCATCATCATCATCATCATCATCATCATCATCATCATCATCATCATCATCATCATCATCATCATCATCATCATCATCATCATCATCATCATCATCATCATCATCATCATCATCATCATCATCATCATCATCATCATCATCATCATCATCATCATCATCATCATCATCATCATCATCATCATCATCATCATCATCATCATCATCATCATCATCATCATCATCATCATCATCATCATTGGTTTATTCAATATGTCGTAGATTACAGCTTTACATTCCAAATCTCATTATTAGCATTATTGTTCTGGTTAATCTTCATTCATTATGTAGCGAACGAGAACAAACAAGTGGAGTCAATCAAATGTATTTTTGAATATAAAACTACATAAACTCTAAGTAAAATCCGAGAACCGTACAGTAAATAGTTAATTTTCAAAATGTCAATCAATTGTCTTAGACATCCAAAAGTTTTGAGTGATGACTTTAGTGCTGCAAAGAATTCCGGTTTTGAAGCGTTGCATGTATTGTAGTTTAATTCATTTTGGAGTAGGTGTTTTTCTATGTTTATTAGTGGTTTTTTTGACAGGATGATCAAGAAGTTGTTTGTGTTTTCATCCATAAATGGTTTTGAGATTTTGATTAGTTTGTTCTTTAGAGTGTTTCTTCTTTGTTCTCTATATCGTTTGCATGATATCTCGATGACTGTTGTCAAGATTTTCAAATTTTTTAAGTTTGTGCTGATGATGTCGTTCAGAAGAACGATAAAAACTCCAAAATCAAACCATCTAGCTCAGAGAACAAAACTCCATCGAAAAAAATGTTCCAGACTTCAATAGTTCAGATCATGAGTCAATTGAACCTAGACCACCATGAAAAACCTGGAACAACTGCACAACGGATTTGTACCAGTATGGAACTCCTCAGAAGTGCGCATTCACGACCCCGCTTCGCGGATTCGAACCCAGGACGAATCAATCTCGTGCACAAGCGCTTAACCACTAATCCACTGGGCTGGACGGTATCCATCGATGTTAATGTCTAACTTCAACTAATCCACGAAATTCAGCGACACATCCACCATTGTCTTCAGTGAGTTGATATCTCACAACAGACCTGGTTGAACTTCACTGGTCACGACTTCTCACTAGAACTTCAGAATACACATCTTGAAGCCAGTCACTAGTGAGCACTTCATTGTTCTTTCATTTCAACACAAATCATTTTTTGTTCTTATTTTTTTTCCAAACACTTCACTTTCAATTTATGATACATACTACTTATATCAGTAACCTATACTGCTATTATACTTTTTTTATAAAAGAAAACACACTTCTGATACTTTGTTAAATTGATCTGTTTCTCTTCTTTGTCTCATTCAATCATCATTATGTACCAAAACCCTCCAAAAATGATTGATTCCATCTTTCAATACTCACAAGACATGAATCATAGAAATCATAATGAAATACACCATGACAGAATAATAATAATTTTATACTTATCAACTATATTGTTCCTTTTCTATATCTATAATGATTGTAATCGAATTACCTTCTTTTTTCTCAAATGGTTGTTTTCATTAATGCTAGGATGGGTTTGATTTATGCGCTAAAATCAAATATGGTGAATACTTATCTATATATTTTTTTATTTGAATTAGAAGGGTTCCTCTATTGTGGATAAAACAAATGTTAATTGATGAAGAAAGATGTCAAAAAGAATTAATGTATTGTCAGGGTTGAATTATTTCAAATGTGTTTGCCTATTGAAGCGTTTCATTTTTATCTTGTTTAACGTATAGAGGCCCCCAAATGCCTTAGTACGGCCGAGGGTGTTGAGAGTTAGTTCTTCTTCTCGAAATACTCTCATGTGGTCACGCGTATACAGCCACTGATAGGGAACACATACTCACTGCCTTATCGTAGCAGGGGTGCTTTTTTACAGAATTGAGAGGATGAAAAGCGAATATCCGGTGCTTTAACCGAGTCAGTCGAATTGGAGGATCCATCTTGGGGAGTTGTAAAACCGTGATTCCAAACCAATAGTGTATATGGGCTCCAGTATTCTGTAGGAACGAATGGCGTATGGAAAAATTGTTGGTCACTGGCTGCCATGGGACTGTACCTTCTTACGATGCTCCACTGCCTTATGGATCAGACCTTCAGGTCGAAGGCTCTGCGTGTGGCGCCCTACGTAAACCACCTGATTCGGTCTTGGCACTTATGCAGTATCATATTCCATACACAAATCAAGCGAGTTGTGTGGCGCATATGTATTTGTTGGCTCCTTGTATCAATATCTATGTGTTAAAATAAATAAGTAAATAAACTACTGTAAAACAACCAGATACACAAGAATGAAAGAAAGAAGCCCATATATATATAAAGTAAGTGGACATGTTAAACCATGTATAACCTTGAGATTTTAAATGTTCGCCAAAATGTATGTCGAAATTTGCAGTAAATTTGGCAATTATCTACTGAAGAATATTGAATAGTTCGTCGATGTTTTTAAAAATTCTCTTGTGATTTTTTTAAGAGCACCGATTAGTCAAAGTATTTTCAGTAGTTTTTAAGCATTTGGAGAATTTCAAAAAATTTGTTAACCAGATCTCCTATTAAAGGGACTTTGTAATAGAAGTACAAATAGTAGTGTGATTGATAAGCAACAATATGAACGATAACATCTTCAACAAATGATATAGACTACTATCAATAGGTATTAAGTAGTGTGTAATGGCGAGACTCTAATTTATGGACGAGACAATCAGAGGTGTCTTAGAGATTTCAAGGTTACGGCGACAACTTCAGTGCTTAATGCTAACGTACGATCGGTTCACAGGGAATTTTGTACAAAACGTGATAATTGAGCGGCTATAACAAATAAAACAGCGAGACTATAATTTGTGGACGAATCAATCCGGTATAAGATAGTAGATCTCGGATTTTAACGCGAAAGCCTTTCATCCATTTAGTTAAATAGATTTCTGGCATTATAGCTGATGTCCGTTCGTGATGAAAACTCTATATATAATTGCTAACTAAAACAGATTACGACAATTATTGCTAACTGGATAATAAAAGCACCAGTAACACTGGCTGCAGCCAGGCACTACAATATATTCGGATGTTTGGAGAGCGTACAGACTCCTACATAGGCTTCGTTATGTACATTGTGTCGTTATACACAAGTGGCATTTTGTACACTCATCAACCGGAGTGCACATAAACAATATTGAAGCTATGTGGTCGAGACTGAAATAGTTTTTGAGACTTTATCATGACTCCAGAGGCTGACTATTATGTAGCCGTGTGAATGATTTCCTCTACTGTATGCATTACGATTTTGGAACCTCTGAACCACTTTTTAACATTGAAAAGTTTTTGAACCACGTATAAGAAGTGTATCCACTTTATTTCATAGGTTTTGTATAATATATTTTTACTCTATACTGGTTGTTTGAGGATTGGCTAATAGTTGCCAAGGTTAATTGAGATTTGTTCAAAGATCATCCATAAATTATAGTCTCGTCGTGTGTAATATATTAAAATCTATGCAATGAAACGAAAATAAAATCAATGGATTATTTCTTAATCAAGTAATCTTGGAAGAGAATTCTATTGTGTCAGTAATTTAACTTTTAAAGATTAACCACCTAGATCCTTGAGTAACACAGTATAAGACGGTATTTGTCAATAACAACAGTTAGAATCCTGTAAGATAAAAATTATCATAGTGATTATGATTCGGTATCATAGATACAATTGAAACTGTCAGTTTCTAAGGTAGGAATATATTCACACAACATTTTGAATTATTATTCTAGTATGTGTCCTGCATATTTTACCAAGTGTATTTCATTTTCAGATTGATTGTGAAATACTTCTAGTTACAACCTGTATACGATCATTAATTATTAATTTTACAAATTAATATGAATATGGTGTTTAATGTAATAGTGTGATGAATATTACTTATATCGACTGTCATAAGTAGTATGTAACACTAGCCACAAGTGAAATACTTAACAGCAAATGATTAAAAAGATCGAACTAAAGAGAATAGAAAGGGAAACAAAGAGGAATTGAAATAAAAACAGCATTGAAACAATCATGAATTATGTAAAAGGACAATTGATGGAATATACGCAAATGATGTATTTAATGCATGGTTTTGGCATTTTACTAACATGAGTGTTCACTCACGACAACAGTAGTACTGACGGTATACAGCGAAGCTTTTTCTTTATTAGTGTTTAACCCCTAATTGATTTCAATTAAAATACATACCCCCCCTCAGATTTCACCTCATCAAAATTCATTAACATTATATCATTTCTTATAATGCAAATTCGAAAACACTAAAGTACAACCTTTTTGAAGATCATACAGATTTCAAGCATTCACATATGAGCAGGAAAACTAAAGAGTATAGTATGTGTATATGGAACTTGACTTTTGGGTAAGGTCTCTGAATAACAAATGACTCAACTTTTATCGTCAAATAATAATGTCTACCATACAAGAACACATAAATCTCAACAACGGGTACATTTGAAGTACTGTGGTGTGTGCTACTTATGTTGATATAAGTAGTATATGATGTTAGTCGTGAACAGAATGTCTGGCAGCAGAGAGACAAGAGGATCGAACAGTAAAGAATAGAAACAGAATGCAGTTTGTATAAAAATGCAAGAACAATGAAGTCTGAGTCATTATGAGACAATGGATGAACATTTTGCAAATTAAGCATTTACTTTATGATTGTTAGACTTTATTAATAAGTCCTGTAATTTTCTGTTAAATACATTCGATTGTCCCCATCCGTGTTCTTTTCACTACAGTACTACATACTCACTTTCATGAGAATAACTACAATAGGTCTCCAGTGATAATCCTAAAAACATATATTTGCTTAGATGCTTACAAAATGCTTAACCTTATTAAAACGACATTGTACTGGCTTAGCTTCGTTAATCAATCACCATTGTTATATACATCTCAGTTCTGTGTGAAATCAGAAAGCAATAAGAAATGACAACTAAAATTTATTAGCAGATAGGAGAGACAATAAATTTATAAACATACCAAACGAATTGGAAGCAGAGAGGTGAATATATGTGTATGCGAGTAAATACAGAGGCGAATTTATAGTCAAATTGAATAAGATGCAGCTAATCAAGGTAAAGGCTAATCATAGGATTTGAGTACATATATACACAAAAAACAGAATGATTCATCGAGTAATATTTCAGCGATTAACATTTTAGTTACATAGAGCTATATATGCAAAGGTTGTCACATGTGGATCAAGTGTACATATTTATACGGACAAATACAAAGAAATAGACGAATTGTTACTGCTGGAACAACGTTGTCTGTTAAGGTTAGTTAATGAAAGGGTTTAACTACAATTTAACCATAATTGAAATTGATTGTAGGAGAGTTGCTTTAACACATTAGCTGATTAAACAACAAGTCGTCTAGATAGAAGATATGAACTGCTACTTATGTTGACCTTTTCGACTATACTTATGATCAGTGTTAATGATATAATATACAATAATGTTTGAATTATTGCATAAAATCTAAACAACAAATGGATTCATTCATAATAAGAATATGACTTTATGTTATGTGATAGTAATCTATTTCTAACATTGAACAAAATGATACATAAATTTAAACTCTGTATACAATTTCTCATGAATTTCCTTTATGAAATATGTAAATCATTTTTACATTGTAAAACATTTCGTGAACTAGTTTTTGCTTGTATTTTGCCTGTCTTTCATATTTAAGTTACCGTAATGCTCCATAGTGCATTCATTTGATGATAATTTAGTTAAATTGCATATGTACGTAATTCGTCCCGAAGCTCCTCTGGGGCTACTTCTGATCCCAAATCTGGGTAAAGGAGGAGGGTTGAGCATAGGTTAGTGATCCCAACCCGCTGAAAAGTGGTCCACGAGTGAACTCAAGGAAGCTGTAAGAAGCTCAGAAAGAGTCGAAGATATTCCATTCAATCATCTTAGAAAAATATTACAGAATCTCTACATGTAGCTTCTCTATTCGGCAAATGCTAATAACCCCCATGTATGCAGATTGGATAACTAGAATGATGATTTCGTTTTTACAAAAAACTATAAATAACTAACAGTTCTGTATCATAAATGACACTGTTTGAAATAACATCCCTTTCACTTGTATTCTGTCTTCTTATTTGCAACATGGGAAGGTTCTACCATTCGAGTGCTCAAGTTATACGTGGTATATTAAGAATCTAAGCTCTAGATATAACAATTAGCATATGTGATCCTTATATGATTGCACTTGAAGGTTAACAAAACTAATGATATAATATAACTAAGATGTCAATTTTATCACTTAGAAATAAATTCATTACTTTCAACTTTGACAACTTACACAACAAGCACAAAAATGTATTAAGAATATATACTTCTAGTTGTTCGTATTTAACATTAAACTGATTAGTTCGATTCCCATAAAAACTGTCTATATACCTGATTAACAAGTCTGAATTGAGATGAAATTTCTATACTAGGACCACACTATTATCATTCAACACTTCAAATACAATATTTTACAGTATAAACCTAATTCACTATTTCAGTTATATATATAAGTTTGAATTATTTATTCTGGTTACCGATTTTTAGCGAGTTAGTTTTCTACGGGATGGGGTCGCTAACCCCATGCCCGACCCTCCTCCTTTATCCGGGCTTGGGACCAGCAGTAGCCCAAGAGGGGGTTCATGCGGATTGTTCGCATCCATTGGCCAGGCACTATCAGCAATAATCAACTGGGGGAGAGAACAAACCAGATCCCGGTGGAGAAATAAATCAGGAAGAATCACTGCAAGTGCTGAGGACACAAATTGAGGAAAACACCCAACTGCATCACAAGATAAGCCCCCACACCGAATCCTCAAGGCCGAATGGGGGTGAATAGGAAGACAAACCTGAGGAGAATGAACAAGAATTGGATAGAACTAGAAAGGGAGACTGATGACAGAGTGGGTTGTAGAATGCTGATCGGCAGCTCATTCTCCATCGGGATTAACAGGCGTAAGTAAGTAAGTAAATTATATACATCAAAATGCAAACACTAGCAACTTATTACACAAGAATATAAAATCCCTCTTTTTATAGAAGAATATTAAATTATTATTTTATATTGACATATTATACAATTCATCATAAATCATAGATTAGAAGCAGTACATTATAGTCGTTTATAAATTTTCTAAATGAAAAATTTAATCTCTCTACATAATTTATTTTTTAAAGCTCATTTATACTACTATTACAATAAAAGCAGTAGTATAAATTTTATATCAAAAAAAGGTATGCAAAAGGCTTATTGTAATAATAATTATTATGGTATGAATACACTGACAACTTAAAACATATGTAGATATAGATATGTAAATATTGATTAACGTTCTATATTAGAAAACTGACGTGGTACAGGACGATTGGAATAATTCACCTTTGACATTGGTCTTGTTGTTTGTTGTTGTCCTTGTTTATTATCTAAAATTACATTCGATATTGATCGATAATTATCTTTACGTTCTATTTGTTCTTGTAATATATTTTCTAATTGATTAATACGTTGATCAGCTTCTCCATAAACTTGTTGAAGTTCTTGAATTCTTTTAACTGATTGTTTACTTTTAATCAATACTGTTTCTGAAATTTTAAAAAAGAAAAAAAATAGTTCACTTTAAAACAAATTCATTCCTCCTGAAGCTCCTTGTGGGTTATTGTCGATCCCATGCCTGGATAAAGGAGGAGGGTTGGGTATGTGATTAGCAACCCTATCTCGTAGAAAACGAAGTCGCTAAAAAAAGTGCTAACCAGAAAAAATAAAAGTGTTTAAGACAACATTATATCATAAGTATTGAAGTGCTATTTAATATCGGCAATATTATTATGGTAGGACCTTGTAGTGTCGGTTATCATGTTAACCACATATATCTTATTCTAGCTTTCGGACAGCTCATTCTATTCATCCTACTTGAGTCACATTCTGACCTTTTTAATTATTCGCTTATCAATCTTGACTGTTTTTATATGAGCGCGTAGTTTTGTGTACATTTATTATCCCATTACTCATCATACGTCTGTAACTTATTTTTGTGTGACTATAAATATTGATTAACGCTTGGTTAAATGAGAGTTGGCTTACCAACCATCTTCACTCTGCATCGTTTCTCTTCTGTCTATTCCATTCGCTTTATATACAAAATACGTCTATTCAAAAGTCCATTCTCGTTATTTGACTTATTTAATTCCGTTATTGACTAACGCGATTGAAATCGATGATTATATATACGAGGATAGGTGATAGCAAACATTTATACAATCTAATTAGAGTCAGATCCATGGGCCACTAAAGTGGAGAGCCCTTTCGACAACATCGTCCGACCTAAACGACAACAAAAATAACGGGCCTCCACAAAAATCTCACTTGCTTTATCAAAGATATTGATTTAAGCCTGAGATTTTTTGGTCACTCATCAATTTCAACCTGAAGACTTTTGAAAATAAAAAAGCATATAACATTTGTTTCATCTTAATTCTAGACTTCATGTTCATGAATTAACCATTGGTCTAACGTATCCTTTTAGGATTCTGTGATAAGTTCCATATTTATAGATCACTGTAATGAATAATTCATCAGATGCTTCATTGAAATGAATTGCTGAATACTAAAACATTCAAATGAAATAATAATCTACTGAAACCTGGCTTTAAACAATCATTTCTCAGCTTAGATCAATTCAAGTCAAAAAATCAGCTTAGAATCGAACAAATCTCTAAGATTAACCAATTAAAAATCAATCACACACCTACTCATCATAGAATTATACTGTAAAATGGTGATTAATGGAATTCAATCATTTAGTCACATTGTATGATTATTATACTATGCTACAAATTAATCGAAGATAGAATTATGGTTTTGAAGTAACACACTAAATGTTGGATACAAAAGTCCTGACGTCGATCTTTGCCAAAGTCATGTTGGCTCAGTGATTTAAAAACTTGTATTACAACGAAAAAGTTGTATTGTGCTTTCTATTTATGAACAGATTCACAGTCGAAGAAAATTGTTGAAACTGTACACTTGAATAAATAGATGAATGTTTGATAAAATACTGAATAAGTTTAAAATATAGTGTTATTGAATGAATGCATAGTATGATGTGACAAGTCTGTAAGCCATAAAGTGCGTTTGAAAGTTATTCAACAGTGGAGCTAATCCGTATAGGGTTGAGACAGATATCTACCACAGTACAATGAAAGATGGTCGCGCGATTTCGTAGATTGGTTGAGGTTAGACATTAGCACTGTTGAATGTCAGCTCATTAGTCTAGACGTTAAGCGTTCACGCATAAGAGTGAATGCCCTGGATTCGAATCCCGCGGGCGGGATCATGGATGAGCACTACTAAGGAATCTCACAGTTGGACGAAACGTCCATCCAATACTTCCAGGTTTTCAATGATGGTCTAAAATCAATCGGTTCATGATATCAATCGATAACTTAATAATCTCCATAATCCCATACTGATGAGATATATTATTTCATAGTCAGAGATTTTGTATCCTTTGATAAATGATAGAAGCATTTATGAAGTAGAAAAAAAATTGTTTCTTTTATGTTTGTTGATTGATTAGGTTGTCATGACAACTTTTCAGACTGAGTTAAAGTATTTAGATCAGACGATGAGATGAACCTTATCAGTACTATGAGATACTATAGTGTATGACTTGTAAGAAAATGTTCATTTCTATTATATAATATTAGATAGCTAGTAGTAATACTCTTTAAACTATCTTTGATTTGATATAATTTTAATGGTGTAAGCATTATTTGAAGAAATTGAACTATCAAAGAACCTTAACTCCAGTAAGCATAACTTCAAATAATTCAATATTAATTGATATGTATTACTAAGTATTCTGCTAGATGTAATGCCTGGATTATGAAATTACAGAATAAGATTGATTAAATGACGAATTAATTGGAAACAAAATTGTATTTTTAACGTCTTGATGAGAATACTTAATAGATCTTCATTTTTAGCATTGACTTAAATAGGTTGGAATGTTTATTGAAAGGACAGTATTAACATGCCCTGGTACGGCCGAGAGTAGAGAGAGTTAAATCTCCCTCTCGAAACGCTCTCACATGGTCACGCGTATATAGCCTCTGCCAAGGAAGTTCTGATCACTGTTTTCTCAACCAGGGGTGTTGATTACGAAATTGGGAGGACGAAAAGCGAATATTCGGTGCTTTAACCAGGTTAGTAGATATGGAGAGTTTACCAAGGAGAGTTGGAAAACCTTGGTTTCAAACCATTGGTGTATATGGGCTCTAATATCCTAAAGGAACAAATGGCGTATGAACCTATTTTTGGTCACTGGCTATCATGGGACTGTATCTCTCGACGTTGCTCCACAGCCTTGTGGATTAGACCTTTAGGTCAAAAGCTTCAGGTGTGGCCCTCTAAGAAAAGCACTTGCTTCGGTCTTGGTACCCGGGCAGTTTTCTTTATTTTATGAAGGAATCAAGTTGAAAGATCGGTCCATTTAACAAACTCATTGCAAATGTAAATGATAGCTATTTATCTTCATTAGAAACTAAAATAACACATTGATGTTTGTACAATAAATGATTAATAGTTCAAAAAAGAAAAAGAAAAAGGGATACAGCAACTCAGTAATGTTTATGCCTAGTCCGTTTATTTGAGTAGCTGTTTTCCATTTACTGAAATGATATCAAGTTTAATACAATACCACTATTACTCTTATTGCATGTTATTATTATATCTAATTTTCGTTAAAATGAATATTTTCGATGAGCTGAATGATTTGGTCGTGGAGTTGTCATCAGTACAAATTTCAGATAGAAGTGAATTGTTCAAATTGAAGATACAACCAAAACGAAGAAATAAACAATAATAGGTTTAAGGTCAATAACAACCAATCAACATCAAGGTCTATAGGACAAGCTGTGAATCACATGAAGAAAAATTCAAACATTCACAGTTGATTGATCACTGAATGGTGATCAATGTCATATGTGTCAAGTATTAATTAGTGACACAGGATCAAATCGTTCAGGGAACACCAGTTCCCTTATGATTACAGGTACGCCTTGCTGACCAGTGCTAAGTAGCACAAAACCTGGATCTAGGGTTTCCTATTGACTACCTCCAACCACCATCTAAAATTTGAACACTACACAGCGAGACTCTAATTTATGGACGATCTTTGAACGAATCTCAAGTAACTTTGGGAAATAGTAGCCAATGAGCAATCAGTCAGTATAGAGTAAAAATATATTATACAAAACCAATGAAATAAAGTGGATACATTTCTTATATGTGGTTCAAAAACTTGTCAGGGTTTAAAAGAGGTTCATAGGTTCTAAAATCGTAATGCATACAATAGAGGAAATAATTCATATGGCTACAGAATAGTTGGCCTCTGTAGCCATGATAAAGTCTCAAAAACTCTTTCAGCCTCGACCACATAGCATCAATATTGTTTGTGTACACTCCGGTTGTTGAGTTCATAAAATACCACTTGTGGATAATGACACGATATACATAACCAAGCCTATGTAGGAGGCTGTACGCTCTCCAAACATCCGAATATATTGTAGTGCCTGGCTGCAGCCAGTGTTACTGGTGCTTTTATTATCCAGTTAGTAATAATTGTCGTAATTTGTCTTAGTTAGGAATTATATATGGGGTTTTCATCACGAACTGACATCAGCCATAATGCCAGAAATCTATTTAGATAAATGAATGAAAGGCTTTCGCGTTAAAATCCGAGATCTATTATATTATACCGGATTGATTCGTCCACAAATTATAGTCTCGATATTTTATTTGTTATAGCCGCTCAACTATCACGTTTTGTACAAAATTCCCTATGAACCGATCATACATTAGCATTAAGCACTGAAGTTGTCGCCGTAACCTTGAAATCTCTCAAACGCTTCTGATTGTCTCGCCCACTTCAGTTCTATCTGAAGTTTGCGCTGACGATTAAAAATCTTCACAACCAACCCATGTAGATCCAAGAATAAAACTTCATCCAAATCATCCACCTGAGCTGTAAATCTTCTTCATTATCTCGACAGATTCATTCATCCTCATATATAGAGAATAATATAATACATGTTTAAAATTAATATACACCTATATTCATTTCATGTTTAACTCTAGGTGTATTCTAATATTCTTTGTGTTTCTGGTTGACCTGTTAAAACATGATTTATAATTCTTTTTGACAAATTCATTCTATTGCATAAACACTAGTTATATATTTATATGAAAATGCACAGATATACAATAGTTTACATTAGAATGTAAGTTACTTGTTAAACAAAATCTATAAACATTGAATAAATTAGTTAAATGATAAGAAATATATGAAAAAAGTGTAAAGTGATTTTCAGCAGAATAAAAACTTATATTCTTCATTGTATGTATTGATAAAACTGTAGTGTGCGCTACTTATATTGATATAAGTAGTATATGACGTGAGTCAGGAATGTTAAGTCTGGCGGCAGAAGATGGTGGAAGATCAAGAAAGGAAGAGGGGAAATATAAAGCAATTAGTATGGAAATGCAAGAACAGTGAAGTCCGAGACAATTATTGAACATTTTG